TCGGGTAGCCTCATACCTATAAGGTTTCGGTTTGAGACGTGTTAAACCTTCAGCCGGAAAATCTTTATGAACCCATTCTGCTTCCTACGCCCTCAGCTCTGAGCCCAAGCCTTCATAAGGCCTACATCCTAATCCAATATCCTACCTTGCTAACCATTTGAAGAGACAGTAGTGCTTGCAGGGCCTCTGTTCAAAACAGTTGCACTGTGCTGCAATGGCTGCGTTATTTTGGCATTTGAGATTATTTGTGCATAATACCTCTCAAGCCATTCGTGCCAAGCCAACTACAGTCACGTGGCCTTGCACTGCGCGTGGTCACGAACCAGCAAATAGCCTGGACCCCTGCTGGACCCTCATCCTGGACCTCCTGGACCCCTTCCTGGACCCCAACCAGCAACCCTGCCCCGTGCCCCCCCCCCTACCGACTCCGCGCTTTCCCCCCTTCTTGAATACCAGCCACATTGGCCCGCAAGTGCCCATCTGTATTTGACCCTTTCGCTTGAAGATTGTATATCCTCCTTGCCGAACTGTTTGCCCCGCAATCGGTTGCCTAGCCTGGCTGCAGACAGTAAGCGCGTGCGAAGCACGCGCGTGTGTCTAGCATATATATATATATGGGTATATCAGGACATGAAGGGATACATGAGCTATAGTCTACACTCCTAGTATCCCTCCATAATACGCCCCATAATCGGAACCCTATATAGTCCTAAGGAGCTTCGACTACAGCTCACATGGGGATATAGTAAAGCCTGACTTTTGAGTTGATGACCAGCCATACGGCTTCCAGCCCTTTCGAGCCCACTTTGAATTCAAGTTAAGTTACTACAATATGAGTACCTCGTAAATAATAGAGTTTCCTTGTTATGGCAACTTAATGTAAATTCCTTAACAACGCTTTACAGCCACATGCTCTGGCCTTGCTGAGTGCAGCTCGGCCTGAGCCGCGGCAGCGGAAGCAGCGGAAGCAGGCGGCTGTTCAGAGTCCTGCGGACACGAAATTTCTTCCGCAAAGCTGGACCCCCAATATTGCTATTGTGATTATTACTAAAAGTACGGTTATTATGACTACGACAAATATTATGGGTAGTGCCTTTTCAGAAGCTCCAAAGCTGCTCCTGGTGAATTCTCTCGAGGGGCGTAGAGAAGAAAGAGTGCCAGGAGGGCTTCTGGCTTTGAAAGCAGTCTAATGAGGTCAGCTTTCACTCTGAGCTTGTTCGTGAGATTTGCGGCTGCGATCGCTAATTGATGAATACGCACAAATTCCTCTACAATCTGGTCTATTTTCTTGGGTGCATGTGTTTCCTCCCCAAGACACATGCACGGCTTTGAGATACGCACTGTCTTGCTTTCAGATGCAAGAAGGTCCTCTGCCTGAGAGCTTGAATCTGCTTTACCATCATGAGAACTGGCTGATGGTCTTGGCACCTGCAAAAATCAGTGCTTTCTTTCTTTATGATTCTTATACTTTGTTGTTTTTTCTGTTTCCCTTTCTTCTCGGGAATCGGTCGGACAGATAGCGGCAGGACTTATTGACAGCTGGCGTTATCTTGCATGTCTTCAGAAGGCCTGGAGCAGTGGTGCGGTGCAGCTGAATGCACGATGTCATTACGGAACAGCCATCAGGTTCCAGAAGCAGTTCATGGCTATGATAGCATTACAATCACTTAGCCTGAAGATGTAGAGCAAGACTGAAACACCAAAAATGTGAAGCAAAGCACACAAGGAGTACTCAACAGGGGTAAACAAGGAGGTACTTGATAAAAACACGCGCACCAGTTCTGACTGTGTAGTGACAATGCACCATGTTGAGCTTCGGCAACTTGTGAATGCAGGTGCATCTTTCTTAAAATCAGGGATGCTTTTCGGGGGTCCCTATAAGCAGGATCATAATATTTTGGTGTCTATATTGGGGTCCCCCTGTTTAGGGAAACAACCAGGTGGTGACTCAACAATACAACAAACGCAGCAGGCTTTTGCGGAGACTTGGAAAGAAGGCAGGAAAGGGCAGAGCCTTCTGCGCCAGGGAGCCGAAGCCAGAAATGGTCGAAATCAGTTGCTGGACCCAAAACAAACTTGAGAAAGCAGGGACAAAGTTCGCAGGACAGTGGGGAACCTATGGATTCCTAAGAGCCACGCGAATCCATCCTAGTTGCTGAGTTTCCGGGCCCCTAAACAGTGTACACTTTTTAAACTCTAATGGGAATATAAGAACCTTAAAAGTGTAAAGTGTACCTACCCAGCTACTAAGCCATGGTTCTGTCCTGCACGGAGCCCCGAGTTGCAACAGCGCTGACATCCCCTCTAGGGTGAGATAGGGATGATAGAGAAATGGGAGCTACTATGTCGATCATATTCCCTACCCAGTCTCTTCACCAATGCAGATGTAGACCTGCCCGTGATGTTTTTGCCGCTGGTAGTGATGTATCTGTATTTTGAGAAACATCCAGGAGCCATGTTGGGCATGTCTAGGATCATGCAGGCCGATGGTTGCCTGTCAATGTTTCACTGCTCTTACTTGAGAAGGTTTGACAGGGTTCAGCAGCCTGCTCTGGGGTTCTACCATCCGCCCATTCAATTGTTATTCTTGGTTCTTAGACGTAGCTGCACGCGCACCAAACCCTAAACCCTAAGTGCATCCCTTTTGCCGTATTCTTTGTGCGGTTTCCTGCCTCAAGCCGATTACCGCGTTCTGAAGCGAGCTCACAGGGGTTTAGGGTTGAGGGTTTAGGATTTAGGGGCTAGGGTTTTCAAGCTTCCTTTGCTCACAGGACGTCCAAGCCTTCATGACAACGGTGATCGAAAGCTGTAGGACTTCGTGACATCACCAAACCCTAAATTAAAGCCCAAAACCCGGAAACCCTAAAAACCCAAAACCCTCAAACCCCAAAACCCCAAAACTCAAAGCCTTAAAACCGTAAACCCCTAACCCAACCGCAGGCCTGTCGAGGTCGCGGCAAATCCAGGTTCAAGGAACTCTGTGCGGTCTGGTAGGCTAAGGAGTCGGCACTTCTCCCCAACGCACGGCCCAAGTCCCGATCCATGAAATGCGATTCCGGCTTTGGTGTGGCATGTGATGACTTCACTTCTTCAAGATTTAAAGTTTAGGGTTGAAGGTTTATGGCTTAGGGCTTAGGGTTCACTGGATCTGATAAGGTTCAAACAGCAAAACACTGGTTCAACAATGCGGTTCAAGAGACCAGGCATGTCACGTGTCGGAACATGACGTCTCTGCTTAATGCCGTGGGTTGATCTGCTGGCGCCTGAAAATTCGTGAGCCGTGATGCGAGGGCGAATACCAGGCACAGCTCCTTGACGGTATGTCCGCCATGTAACAGCAACTACGCGGCTATCATCCGCTGGAACCCCAGAAACATCCCGAGAGTCCCTTCTATGCAAGGTATGGTTATAACATCTGGAGAACATTGCTTGCATTTACCTTCAGCACGTTGGGAGGAGGTGAGGTGTTCACTTGGGAGGTCTTCTACAACAGCAGATGCTCATTTGAAAGCACAGCGGAACATCCCTCTTGCTGCTAACACATGCCTTTTTTCTGGGAGCCTGTCGGAATCCTGAGGAAGCTGTACACAAGGATCCTACGCGTGTGCAACCAGAATGTTCTACGGCAAGCAGCTGGGCGATGCCAAGGTAACCTCGGCAGGTGGAAAAGTCGAAGATGCAATGCATTTCAGGTTATGGGCGTAAGGGTCATGCTGTGAAATGGCGGGTTGGCAGTGATCGACATGCAGCTACGGCCAGACCGTCCCTAGCCATCTACATATTCATCCACCCCATGCCGTTTGAGGCGGCCAAGCGACCCAAACCTATTCCGTTCAGGGTTTAGGACCTAAACTCAACTAGGCCCATCTTGGTCAACAGTACTACAAATTTGTTGTTCTTCTTTATGTTGTCGTTGTTGAGGGGATTCTGAAAGCTTAGTGGCGGGAAACAAAAGGGGCGGCCGGTTTCCAGGGGGCGAGGGCCCACGAAGGCGGGCTACGCCTTGAGTTGTTTAGGACTTTAGGGTTTGGGGCTTAGGATTTAGGGTTTGAGGTTTAGATTTCGAACAATGCAACCTTGGCCATTTCCAGTCTTTCTCTCTGACTGGAGACCATTAAAGTACAAGCTTTGGGTTGATAATTACAATACCAGTAGCAACTATCATCATACTAGTAGCAACGGTATTGGCGGAGACCTGGGCTCTTCCTAGGAATGCTACGTCTCTTTGGGATGGTCTCAAAGATGGCATCTAGTAAGCAGAACCAGTTCTAAGATCGTGCCTACATTGACGGCAAGTACAATAAGGGGATTTTGATGACCCCAACCCCCGAAATCAGGATCCTATGACCATAATATGATGGGTTTAGGGTCCAAATTTGGAGGTTGGGGTTACCAAAATCCTCTCATTCATGCAAGGGGATTTAGCGGTTTAGGGCTCAAGCCTTAGGGTTAGGGCTTACTCGAGGCAACCCAAAGGACGGTTTGATGACCTCACTCGTTCCTTCGGTTAGGAACCCATGCACCAGTCCACCTCAAGACAGCACAAGGCAACATTGACACTTCCGTATATAGACCAACTCTGACAACAAATTAGTCACGACTGTTTGTACTATCATTGCCATTATTGCTCCTAGTACCAAAATCACCATATTATTTTCATTATTACTATCTATTATTACTCGTAATATTCTTTCAGCTGTTATTACTATTTTTGCTAGCTATGCTTACTACTGCTACTATTATATCTTTCTAGTGTTGCCATTTCTCTTTTCTGTTACTACTGTCACTATCGCTGTTGCTATTGAACGGGTTCTGGCTGAAGTATTCATTGTCTGAGCTCCCTGCTGATATCTCAGTCGTAGCAATGACCATGGCTGTCCACTCGGTCCCAATCCTGGGTTCTTGTTGAAATAATTACTGGTAAACACGATCATTTTCAACCTATGCTGGGCGTAGGTATACATAAACATGTAACATTTATTCAACAAGAACCCAGAATCGATACCATCAAAGAACTTTTCCTGACATGCCGATTCAGCTGTCCCACGCTTTCCCAAGTCCTCCGTGCAGAATTTGTGGCTCAAGGCCCGACCTTGTTGTAGCAGGCTGGTGGCACCTCCGTCTCCCCCAGCGGCCTCCAGCAACTCAGCAAGAATAACCTGGGTTCTTGTTGAAATACTAAAAAAAATTAGGGGTTAGGGTTTAGGGTATAATCTATTTTGGGCTTGGGTATACATAAAAATGTACATTGTTCTTTAACAAGCACCCAGTAACTCCCAGGCTGTAGAGGTCTTGCTCCGGTGAGGCCATCCCGAACTGTGCAATTTCAGGGGCTGCATAGTGCGAGGTAGTGTACCGGACAGGTTCCCTGAATTCCACAGCGCCGTCAAAGTCTGACAGCATGGCACGTAACTTCCAGGCTGAGTGGCATTCAGCTCGCGTCAGCACGATATTTGCAGGCTTCAAGTCTGAGTGAATGAGTTCGTTCTTGTGGAGGAACTTCAATCCTGACAGCACCTGCGCCACCCAGTGCCTGCTTTCGTTCAGATTCAGCTGCGGGGTCGTCTTCAAAATCTTCTCCTGCAGGTTCCGCGAATCTGCAAACTCCATAAAGATCTCTTTCTTCCGACCATCACACAGCTCCCCGTAGGTTTGGACAATTGTGGGATGCCTGTGTTTTTTCAGAAGTTCGATAAAGTCAGTCCTCAGGTGCTGCTTTGCATCATCCTTGAGCTCCTTGACTGCGACTCTCTTCGTCTTACCCTGGAAGCTCAGCTCATATTCGAACATGTTTGCATGCTGCCCGAAGTTCACGTAGCCCATCCACGTCAACTTGGCAGAATCGCAACAAGAGTCAGCAAGCAGGCTCAGCTTTTTGCACTGTGCGGCCTGCAGGGTTCGGCTTTGCCTGTCCTGCATAATCAGTGCAAGTTGCCGTTCCGCAAGGTCACACGAAACTATCATCGGGAGAGGAATCTCCGTTCTGCGTCCATGACTGCCGCGCAAGTACAACATATAAGGCTGCTCTGAAGTACCGTCTCCAAAAGCAACAGCTCCCTTGCCACACAGGGTGCCATACGTGACCTCTTTCTCAGATATGGACCGAATTCCCCAAGCCCATTTCAACAGCCTGGCCCTGTTCCAGAACTTGCACAACGCGGAGGGCGTGCCCACAAGGACCGGGGTGCGAACAAGCTCAAAGCAATCTTTCTTCTGCTTCAGCCTGATGAGCTTCCTTTCAATGGTGCAATTGAACAACTTTGATAGCATTGATTGGAAAAGCTGGATGGCCTTCGCCACATCGTCCTGACCTCCATACTGGTCTGTTACATCGTCAAACTCTTTGCCGTGATCAGGGGTAACTGCCCAAGCATGCACCAAGAAGGACTTCGTGCCCTCAGATGAGGTGTAGATCTTCTTGTAGATCTTCTGGTCAGCTTCAGGAACTTCAGACAGTTTCTGCCAGAAATCTTCACCTGGAAACTCTAGGGTTTTTAGGGCTTAGGGTCCTGGAAACTTTGATGGGATTCATCATGAAAAGAGAGAGCCTAAGTAAAGGAAACTCAAGATAAGGAAGACCCAACATCCCAACCGTTTGGCGCACAGTATGTTTTTGTTTTGAGGAGGAGGCTCCTAAACTTACCGCTGCTTAAGGGCGAGTGGGGGAGTGGACCCCTATGATAATCCTTGTATAATCCCCGCATATACCCTAAACCCTAGACCCTAAACCCTAAATACCCCTATAGTGGTATCTATATTCACTCCCGCATTTTCCCTTAAGCACCAGTACGCAAAGATTGGCGGAAAGGAGCGAAGCTTGAATCCAGGTTTGTGTTGCGTTGAGCCTGGTTTGACCCAACCATGGATGGATCTAAACCCTAAACTTTAAACCCCAAGCCCTGAAATCGTAGAACTCTAAAGCCCTAAACCCCAAGCCCTAAAACCCTAAAACCCTAACCCGCAAACCCAACCATGGATCCTCAAACCCAACATGGATGGATCAGGAATTCTACGCTTCTCAACTTGCAAACGTTCCTGTCAGGATATGGTAGCGGCTAAGGCTGGGCCTGGAAACGCTTAAACATACCTCTTCAGAGAGATCCCAAGACGCTGGACACCAATTCTGGTGAAATACTCTTAAACTAGCAAAAAGATGTAATACCCTGAATAATAATTTCCATTATCTTTTACATTGTCCTCATATATCCCTTCTATATATATAAATATATATCAAGTTCAAGGAACAGGGTTAATTTTGCTTGCCGAGGACTTTGCGACCATATCGAACCGGACTCTCAAACATCCGTTGACTGGGCCCGGCAGCCTGCCTATTTCTTGTGTAAAAGGCCAGCTGAAGATGGTCGTCTCCTCCCAGCTTTTCCTGGGTTGCTATTAAGGAACTTAAATTAAGTCACCAGGATTTGGGTATACATGGTTTTTTAGGGTTTGGGGTTACCGTAAGATGGGTCTGTAGTAAAATAGTAGGGTCTCCTTGTTCTAGTAACTTAATCTAAGTTCCTCAGCAGCAATCCAGTTTCTTGGGCAATTGCTTCTCCCTCTCGAAGCCAAGGGTAGTGATCGTGTGAAGTTTCCTGCCCTCTTTTTTCACATGTGCTGGAAGATCCTCACAATTGAAAGCCACTCGCAGAAAAATGCTTCGGATGTGATCGTGCTGCTTGATGTCCAGCTGCGGCCCATTCTCCTCTCCATTGTGCTGAGTGCCGAAAACAAAAATTGCAACGAATGAGGAATCTTGAAACTTCAGGGTTTGAGGTTCGGTTGTGAATGGGTGACTTGATGACAGGGGTTGTTATCCAGGGATCTATTCTTCATACCCTACAAAGCCCCAGGTAGTCCTCGCGCATGGCACGCAGCGCAGCGTCGCCCAAACCGATCAACCGCTTCTTGTAATTGTCTAGCATGTTCTTGGGGCCCTCAATGCAGGAGCTGAAAAGGGTGAGCGGAATGAGCACTGTGGGAAGCACCACCGAGTGTAGCGCCACGGCAGCATATGCGGACCTCAGCTGCTTGGACCTCACATCAGACTGCGGCTGAAGCTTCACAGCCATACACTAAACGGACGCGTCGAAACTGCAGAGTACATGAGCCATTGTCTAAATTCCTAGTATCCCGCTTAATACTAATAGCCCCCATGGTAGTCCGCTACATTATCCTCTATACAACCCCCTTTAAGCAGTTTCGACTATAGCTCACATACTCGCAGCAGGAACCAAGGGCGGGTAGCAGTGCCCTCGTAAACCGCCCACCCCTCGCACGACCTTTACACCCAGGCTGTTTGACCCTAGAATCCCCAGGCCATTGCAACGGAGCCAAAACCCCGGACCTTTCTCCCCCTACTGCCTCATGGATCACTTTGCAGCTCCGTCACACAAGTGTTCACAAGTATGAATGCTGCCCTTGCCGCTGCCGACCCCAAAACTGAAACCTCCTACGTTGTGTGCAAGTAGGAACCTGAACGTCAATGCCAGGCAACACCGTCACCATCACGGCGCCATTGCAGACCTGGATGATGGAATTCGGCTTTAGGTTGAAAAGTTATCCTCCACTTATCCCCCTTGCAGAGTTGGCAAGCAAGGCCTTAGTGGACCTTTACGCAAGAGCAACCAAGAAACTTGCTGCCGGGCTGAACTGTGCAAGTGCGAGAACTCGGGCGGTAGCTCCTGTAGTTCAAGCGCTGTTGTTCAGGGAAAGCTCAACCTGGCATGACCTGAAACAAGACTAAGGATAGCCCCATCTTTTGCATTTATACCGCAGATTCGGACTTCATATGATGGTTTTTAGCTGCTCAACAATGTCTTGTCGCTAAAGGGGTGTCAGTGCTGCAACCCGGCAGGCTAAAGTACAGTACCCAGGCTCCAACTTGCATGCATGGCCCGAAGCCTTGCGATCAGCCTCGTGCTCCACAACTCCCTCAATGTCCCGGCAAGTGGCCGCGTGACAACTATTAACCCTGCCAATGTTTTGTCATGCGTTGACGGCCAACGCCTGGCAAATGATTGAAGTCACAATGTATCTTAGGCCTGTCCTCCTCCCTGTGCATGCTGAACGCCAGCATAACCGCTGAACATCTCGTTGTGAACACCTGAGCAACATGGCCAGGCTAAACCCCTAAAACACCATCGAATAAGGCTTTTGAATTGTCTCCCACACCTTTCACTCTAAGTCTTGCTCATGAACAACCGTCCAAAACCCCAAACGCTAAACTTTCCTCGTGCGAGCCCGGAACCAGGTAGGCGGCCCAATCCTGTAGCCACCCGAAAACCATGGCAGCTTTGAGGCAAAACTTAACTTGAAACCCGAGCGCTATGCGTCACTATGAAGGCCGTTTAGCTGACTCCGTAAGCTTCTTATACGAAGTTGAGGAACACGTGTTGCTTCTGGCTTACAGAACTATGCAGGGATCCTTGCAGAAATTCGCTCCGTGACTAAAGTTGCGGAAAAGCAATCATGGAGCGCATGCGCCGATTTGTATGGTGCATGCTGCTATGATGCGTCTTTCGTCTCATTCGTACCCCACACTACAGAAGTAACTACTGCCAGAAGAATGTAAGCCAATTTTTTGTTGGAGCGCCCGCTCAGTGGCCGTCCATACCATTCTGCTTGGCCTACAGTCTTCTCATTTGTGATTAAAGGGAATAAAATGGGAACCCCAAACAGGGAACCAAAAGAGTTGGGACCATGGCAGGTATATTCCCATTATTTTCCTTCTATCTCAGCACAAAGTTTTTGCGACATTTTTTTGATTTTTCTGGCACTGCCCGCTCTGGCTTTGTGAAAGACCTTTGAATTGCGAGGCCCGCATTTGCAGGCGAATGATGGTATTTCATCTGGGGACAATCAGGCTGCAAGATGGATTCTTGGCTCTCGCATTTGCGGCAAACCCTGATGCATCGAGCCCTCGTCCCTGAGTATGCACAGAACGCCATAGCTGTCTCAGGTAATCTGGCTGTAGCTCTTGCAGAGGCAGGTTCAAGCGAGACAAGCATCATATGTGGCAGCACATCAACAAGGCGAACCGAAACAGGAAAGAAAGTTTCGTCCACAGAAAGGGCTGTCGATGCACGCTTTCTGTGCAATAGGTTGACTCTCAAGCCTGACCCAGACCCCTTAAAGGATCCAAAAAATGGAACCCCCCCGATATGAACCCATTACTACATTGGATGGAGAAACTGAGGGATCATTGTGGATTATTGGGGGGGGGGTTCCATTTTTCAGATGCTTTAAGGGGTCCGGGGAGCAGGCATCCCGGCATCCAGTTCACGGCGGACGAGATTCTCCCGGGGTAGCTGTCAGCTCCAGCCTGCCAATCCCATTTCTCAGCCAAAGAAAACCTGGGTTGCTGTTAAGGAACTTGACTTAAGTTGTTCTAATAAAGAAACATAAGGAAACCCCATTATTTACTATGAACACACACTATGGTAACTTAAACTGAGATGCTTAACAGCAACCCAGAAACTGTCCCATCAACGCGTTTCGAGTCTGTCAGAGGCGTCTTGTGTCAGTCAGTTGGCCGCCCTGCTTCAGGAAACCTCAATCTGCACGCAGAGAAACAAATGGCACAACTAATCAAACCCCAACCGTAAACCCTATGCCCTAAACCTAAACCCTGAGCCCAAACAACACTACTAAAGATGGAGCTCTGCTTAATTCAGTTTGGAAACGCGGAGACAGACCCCACTTTCAAGAAGTGGGCCTTCGCCTGGGACAGTTGCATGAAGGTGGCTCTGGATGGGCTTAATCTGGGTTGCTGCTCGGGAACTTGAACTGAGCTGCCATAATGGTTATATATGGTACTTCAATATGGTTCCCCATTATACTAACTTCACCCTTAACCCTAAACCCTACACCCGAAACCCTAAACCCTTCACCACAAACCCTAAACCCTCAACCCCAAACCCAAACGCCAAACCCTAAACTCTAAACCCCAAACCCATAGCCCTAAACCAGTTTGGGGGATTAGGCCTGAGCCTTTGAGATTTTGGTTTCAAGCCTATTTTTTGTATATGGGGTTTGGGATTTAGGGTGTAGGGTTTTAAGGGTGAGGCTCGGATCCTTGGATCGTGCCTTCCTTCCGTACTGAACATGGGTGGTTGTCAAAATTATGGTCCCTTTTTGGATCCCTATTATAATACGGCACCTAATATTTAGGGCACCCAAAAAGGGATCACAATTTTGTCAACCACCCACATCGAAGGGCATTGAAGCTTGGGACTCTGAGGGCCGTTGAATGCTTTGAATCGCACTTTTGCAGTCATGACAGTAGCATTGACAGCAAGGCTGCTAGGGTTTGGGGCGGGCTTTCAAATATTTTGAGATTAAGGAAATTTGAGACCCCTAAGTAATGGTAAGTTTGAGTGGTCATGAAGGTCATGATTAGTGTCATTTCAATGCGGACTTCTTGTGCAAGGAGGGTGGTCCTTGCTCAAACTGCCAAAGCCTGGATGGCCAGCGGTTTAAGCTTTGGGGAGGCTGTGGGGTTTCCCAAAAACCTAGGCGTACCACTTTAGGCCTCCCCAGAATAAGAATTATCATGGCAACTGCAATGTTGCTTGTGCGGCTTGACTACCGGGCGGCTTACAACCATGATTTGCATACCTCCTGAGATCTTCCGGTGTTGACCGGATACCCGTAGGGAAGAACTCTGAGCTCTCCTCTCCTTTGAAAAATTCTATTTCCGCCCGACCACTGGAACCACTCAGTCGGAAATCCAATTTCCAACGTTCGGGCTTCTCATTGATTGGTGGTGTGTGGTCATGGAACTCCAAATTTGAGGTATGTGATTTTGGGGGGGCGTCCGTGATGTCAACATCAACACACCAGGATTGTGCCAAACTGCAGATTTCGCTGTGGAGCAGATTTGCTGCTGCAGCTCAGCCAGAAAGTTGCCAGTGTCCTGAGCACAAACGAAAGTCATCAAATCAAGTACGGCCATGCATCAACCCATGATGAAACTGCTTCTGGTGGAACGTTCCAAAAGCTCATACTTGCTGCATGAAGTCATCAAGTCTAGCCAAGATGCTTTCTGATCCACAGCGAGAAGAAAGGGGCATTCTTTTGGAATGTCAACTTGCAGCGTTGGAGAAAAGTGAGGGCTGTGCTCTCGGGTGTAGTCGTGGCTGAAAACCAGGATCGTCACTGACCCCATCATGATGCACGGGACAGCCTCAGGCATTCAAAACACATACCCAGATTTAGCGCGAGACCCTCAGGCCCCGCCGGGGCGAACCCCGAGCCCGCAAGCAATCCGGCGTTCGGTCTGCCCAGGAGGTCCGGAGTACGTGGTCGCTGGAATTGGAACTGGGACATCCCTTATTCCTTTCACTACATATTTCCCAAATTCCATTTCCATGTGACGAACCTCCCTGCTCCACTGGGTTGTGCCGGCCTCTCTCTCTCTCTCTCTCTTCGCAAATGCAGCAAATGCAAAGACAGAGCGAGCGCAGCAAATAAGTCAAGCGGCTTGAAGCTGTACCACCTTCCCATGATGCAAGGGAAGCTTCTTGCGACAGACATTACGTCTATCATCCCTGTCTTTCCTGACAGGCAGCAAACTCCTCAGGATCGAGAAGCAATCTACAAGGCTGTACGTTCAAGCCAGATCTGTAGCGACACAAACCTGCGTCCACTTGCTTCGTACCTCAGAATACTGCTGCGAGCCCGCGTGCGCTCAAGCTGCATCCTGCCTATATCCTGCGTACTTCTTGGACAGCAGAGAGTTCATGATGCCGCCGACAACTCCCGGCCTTGTTTTCAGCAAGTCTTAGGTCTCTGCAGGCAGCATCAAACCACTTGCAGAAGTTGTCACGAAAGTGCTTGTCCGGCACAATCCAACAGTCAGCCAAATGAGCGGAGTCTGCGCAAGAAAGACCCTCACCCTGTACAAGTGAGTGTTGTCCAAAGAGAGTGCCAAACACAAAGTTAAAGTGCGAGCACAACTGCCAACAGTAGATTTGATTGCGCACCAGTTCAGAAACAGCCTGAAGCTAGGATCTTGATTGCTACAACAGAGCAATGAGAATGTCTCAACAAGAAAACAAACGGCTTGCAGCTGTGATGTTGAGGCCAGCTGCATAAGATCGACGCGGTCAGGCAGGAGCAGAACATGCATGTCCAAATTCAACGGGGCTATTTGAGCTTGTGAAGGTTTCGCAAGTCCTGCGGCACAGGGCAACACAGCACAATCTGCGATTGGATGTGAAAAGCATCATGGTTTCGAGTAACTAGTGGCACCAGACCTCAAATCATACTGCCTGGTGCCATAGTAATGTGATCTTTGATTATGTTGGCCGTCGTTTCGCGATTGTTGCACCGTGCCCTTTGACGCAGGTTCAGGTCCAGTTGACTGTCTGCTGCTGGCGACCCCTCCTAAGATTATTCCGGACTGGGTATCCAGCTCCGTCGAAATGAACAAGATGCAGAGGGTTGCTGTGCTGAAGGCCTAAGAAACTCTACCCTGCAGGCAGCTAAGCTAACAGCTCTAGGGTGCTTCCAACATCTAGGCC